TATATGTAGGACTCTGGGATATGCTTGTGCCATATAAAAAGCTGCTGCTTTCAGGTGCCTGGCTGCTCTCATGCATAGGGATTTTCAGGATCAAAGCTCCTATGAATGTTATTCACAACAAATAATTGTGCCAGCTCTTGGGAAGAAAATACGGAGAACATTCATGTAATGCTGCCATCTCAGTTGGGGAGCAAGGAAATACACTGACTGTAGGAGAGAGCAAAGCTCTCTCAGCACTCTCATCACATTAACACTTACCTTCCTTCCTTCCTTCCAGTCAAAGTTCTCTCAGCTGCTTCTTTCCATTGTTTTTTATTATTCATTTGAATCAGAAAATAATATTTTTCCTCTCTAATTCAGGAAAAATTGCCATTGCCCACCTCCTGCTGAGGCAAAAGAGTGCCAGAGCCCATCTCCTATAAGCTCCTTCTCACTTCAAATGCAGCCTGCAATGGCTCCTTTGGAAATGTAACAGGCTATTATAGAAATATGTATTTACACAGTATTTTAAGATGCACATTATCCACCTGATAGACCATGACAGCTCACCATTACAGCCTATTGAATAAAACCTCTTTGCACCATTTTTTTTTTCCCAAGCAGATAGTTTTTGTGTGATGAATTGTGAGTCTATTGTGTAAAAGTACAAGTTTGTCGTGCAGGGCCATAGGAGACCACCATTTATCTGTAACCCACTGCAGTGGGAAGGTGCCTGGCCCATGGAACGAATTATTCTGACCAGAGGGATTGAAAAAAAGTGAGAAAAAAGCTCTATGAACCTGAAGGGAAAAGTTACAACACTTGTTTACTGGCCTGCAGTATATTATAAGGGAGATCACTCCTGCAGAGTCATTTTCCTTCTTCCTTGGCTGGTCCTATTTTTTTAAGGGACTCCTCTATTTTGGAAGCATTTCTGCTTGTCTTTCCCACCCAAACTTCCTGTGCTCGTGTGACTCACTCCAGCTGATCCATACCTGAACAGTTTCTCTCTTCCAGGGATTCACATTAGAACCTGCCCTGTCCTAGGTGCCATCTCTCTCATGTTGTGCAAGGATGCTCCGCTGGAACAGAAAATAATCAAAATCTTATTAGCCTGAAGCTAGGCATAAGGACTCTTCCTGTCATTTCCTGTGAGTTTTAACTTATCAGGAAACAAAATGCAGCAGGGAAGGCCACAAGACCCCAGCTTCAAAACGAAGCTCACAGCCAAAGACACGGTGTCCCTGCTATCAAACAGGCTAAACAAGCTGCAAATAGACAAGATCCCCAACTTGTTGTAAGATGAAATAGAGCCCAGCCCCTGTTGAGAAACAATTTTACATTGCAGATGTTCATGAATGCATGGAAAATGTGGTGACTTCAAGTCTCTTTTCTTTCCCTATCTTCAGGATGTCCAAACTGATTTTTTTAAGAGAAACCCTCTAACAGTTACAGTTGACTCCTGAGAAGAACTTGTCTGTCTGGAACAAAAAAAAGACTCTCAGCCAGCTGAACAGCGTTGTCTTCTTCCCTCCCCCCATTCAAATTAAGCATACACAACAGAAATACCAAACAGGCATGGGTTTTACATATCATGCCAATTCTGATCCGAAACAGTTTATTAATATAAATCACCTCCAAAAAAGGGAAAGATTTTAAAGGGAAGCAAATAGCTGCCAAAAAGAGTTACACACAGAGCCAGTGCCTAACACTAAACCTAGTGGAAATCATGTATTTCCACTCCTCATGAAGCCAAGCAGTGGGGAGCCAGTGCTTTGAACTCTGCGTGGGACACTTGCTGTGAGCCCCCACGAGAGAGCATATGGTTTGAGAGGAAACAGAAACCCCATCCAGAAACGTGCTGGTCTCTAACCAGCAGATCTGTAAATAGTCCAAACCCATTCCCCTGCAGGAGGGGACCCACGGGCCCCATCCAGTCTTTGCCATGGCTCTTCCCCCCTCAGGGAAGTCAGTGGGAGCTCAGACCCCTCTGAGATGACTCCTCTGCACCTCCCAAGGCAGAAGGGGATGGCTTGGAGGGAAAATGTTGCCCTGAGGGTGCAGAGATGCCTGTTGGCCATGCCTTTGCATGCCAGGCTGCCATGGCTAGGATTCCCACAGTGTGGGCAGCTCCGCTCTGCTCCAGACCTTTCTCTGGACACTCCCAGGAGGGCTTTCCTGGTGTCCAGCCCAAGGATGAAAGCTGACCTTATATCTGTGGTTTTGTCTCAAGTGTCTCCTCCTGTACTCTTTACTCTTGACTCTTTCACCAAGCAGGACCGACCAGCCCGAAGTTGTGGTTTCCTGGATTTCCTAGGTCTGTTTAGGAAACTCGTCCTCACTTTTTAAACAGTGTATTTGGTTTAATTTTCATTATTTTTAGATGTTAAATTTTACATCAATACAGTATGTCTTAAACTACTGTATTAGAATGCTGCTTGACTCACTTCCAAATTGAAGACCTTTTAAAAAAATTGAAGCAGTCCAATAATTTTAAATCACTCTGCACTGTGCATTGCAATTTAAAATTATTGGAGTGCTTCAAATTTTTATAAGCCCTTGAATTTGGAAGTGATCGAGGTTCTGGGCATACTCAGTGTAGAGCAATTTAAAATTATAAGAGCTGTCAAATTTTTATATAAGCACTTCAGTTAGAAAAGGGATTTGGGTTCTGGGCATGTGCAAAGGGGAGCAATTTAAATTATTAAAGTGCTTCAATTTTTTTTCTAAGCACCTGATTTTGGAAGGGTTTTGGTTTGTGCAGCCTAAAATGACAACTTCCTTTGAGAGTTTCTTTTTTAAAAGAATTTCAATCTTGCAAACTAAAGTATTCTTTAAAATATGAATTCACTGATACTTTAAGAACTGATTTGCACAGAGCTTGGTGCCCGGAACATCTATTTTTTTTCCTCTCATTTTATCATTTCACTCTTTAAGGGGCAAATTGATGGTATAGAAATAGCTGCCTCTTTGGATTCTAAATTTTTTCCAACTGTTGCACTCATGGTACAAAATAAAAAAATAAAAAAATAAAAAAAAAGAGTGGAAAAATGAAAAATTTGATGGGAAGGACTGAATGCTTTTTCCATGGACTATCCTGCCTGGCCAACAGAATTTAGAAGGCATGCAGAATTGAAGCAATTTGTTATTAAATCTCATTTTAATGTCTCTCAACACTCAAAATGAAAGCCATGTGATAGCTGATTGAATCTGAAGGAAGGGAGTTGGAAAACAGCTTTATTTGCACACTCACTCTCTGTACTGAAGTGATTCCCACCAGGAGCCATGCCAGGATTGCCATCTTTGCCCCAGATCCTGCCACGTCCTTCAGCATCCCAGTGCTGGGCAGCAGGAGCAGCAAGGGGAGCAGGGAGAGTGCAGCTCCCACGGCAGATCCCACTCCCTGCTGCCATGGGACCAGCGCAGAGGGAATTTGCACGGCCGAGCTGGAGATCGCTGTGTCCACGTGCACGGGAAAGATGAGACTGAGGGATGCCCTCAGTGAGCAGTCAGAACACAGAGACAGGGCAGATGAGCATTTCCACTCATGTTTCTCCCTGCTATCCCTTTTTAAAACCAGGGATTCACTCTGTAGGGCAGGGATCAGGGTAATTAGTCGATGTATAAGGGCGCCGTGTACCTTAAGCCTTGTGCGTGAGGGGTACCTGTGGCGTGGAACCGTGCATTTCATCAAATGCGAATTTAGTGTTTTCTTCCCCTTGAATGCTCCTTTCACTTGTTACCATGGAGGTGATAGGTGACCATTTGTAGTTGTTTATTCCTTGGAAAATGAAGTTTTTGAATAAAAGCCAGTGATCAAATTAAATAGGGGCAAAGATCTGCCGGAGGTGAAATTCGAACAGGAGCCAGATTAATCATATAGTCAGGAATGAAGGGGAAAATTCTTGAAAGCATTTTGCTTTCTCCCTTGGAGTTTTTGTTTTGTTTTTTTTCCAAAAAGTAGAAGTATAAAAATGGTTTCTTACTGCCCATAGTATTAACTGCATCATTCTTTCAGGATGTGAAGCCCAGGGACTGTTCAGTGTCAGAAGGACAGGGAATGGGAGACCAAACCATTTTTGCTCAGTGTAAGTTGATTTGGACTGTGCTTTCATTGAAGCCTTGTGGAATTTTGTGGCAGGCATTGGCTAAGTTCTGTCTGGAGATGGGGTGTGCTGGGGCCTCGTGGGAGTGTGGCCAGCAGCCACCGTGTGTGGCCATGTCAATGGTAGTGGGAAGTTTGGTGGAGGTGAGATCTGTCCGTGCCTTCTCTTTCTGTCCAGCGTGCGGGCGTGGGCGCGGAATGGATTAAAAATCTGCCTGGGCAGAGGAGCAATAGGGGCAGGTCCAGGCTGTCCTGCCGGCAGGTCCATGCAGGGATGCGCGTCTGTCGGACCAGGGGCGTGCAAAGGATCAAACACAGAGGAACACCCAGCCTGTGTGAATCCCTGTCCTGGCACCAAATAACAGAGGGAATCGACTCGGAGCCGCCGCCTCACAGGCTCACGTACGAGCACCGAGGCTGCCTTAAAGTTCCCGTCTTGCTGCCTGACTTCAGACGCTGCCTGCTCGAACCCCGCTTTTGGGCTGTATTCATGCTAATGTTGACAGGTTTTTTCCTCCTTTGTTACATTGTGCAAACCAAATAGAAAGTGAGGTGAGCTTGTCTGAGCAGATGAAAGATGGCAAGAAATTGGCGCTTGGGGACCAGTGTCTTGGTGACATCGGCTCTGCAGTCCTTTTTTTCTCTCTCTCCCTGGCTTCCCCTCTCCCTCTCATTCTCTCTGAAATGGTCTGTGCCTCCAGTAATTTACATAATACTCTTCTGACACCTTTACTTTAGTCATCAATCACGGTACCTTCTCTCAGTCTATCTTTTGTCTGAGCATGTCTCTTCTTTATCAGGCCATGCACAAAAGATTAATTTCACAGTTTTTCTCCCTTCTTTCTTTCCTTGCAAGATACAAAGCTCATGAAATGACAGAAGCAAGATAATGAAAACAACAATGCAAGCAATTTTTTTTTTTGTTCTTGCTGGTTGGATCTCAAGATACTTTTTTTAACCTCATTGTGTGCCATCTGTCTTAGAAAAGGTCTGCTCGGTATTTTTTAATACAATTCTGATGCTGTTCTGAAGACTACCTGGGGAAAAAAATACATATTTTAATCAGGCCATAGGTACTGATTTAAAATTAGAAAAATAAATAAAAGAGAAAAGGAATTTATGAACAATTAAAGCGAGGGGTCCATTTCTAATGGTGGCATGGGCTACTGCACAGTGCCCATGCCCCAATTAATATTAATGATCTTTTGTGCATAGCAAATTTATGGCATTTGATTGACTCACACAACTACACTTCAAGCTGTCACGTAAAGTGAAATATATGGGCACCATGGCTTAATTTGCATATGCATATGTTCTTAATATTAATTAGTCTAATGGATCTAAGGACCTGGAGGTAATTTGAGTAGTGGGAGAAGAGAAGCAAACAAACAAAACAGAACTCGCTGAACGGTGCCCTGCTATGGGTTGGTCCTACAGTCAAATAACTCTCCCAAAATGCAAAATAATTGGCATGAATTTCTCCTCCTTCCCCATGTCTCTCCCAGGACCGGCTGAATTAAAATCTTATCCCATATAATGCATTGTTTTGGCTCTGACCCTGACACTTTTTAATTTGAAATGCTTAACATGCCAAGTAGATTACAGAATTATAGACAGAGGAGTTTGAGTGCAGGCTTATGGGCGTAGGTCAGGGCCATGAGACTCGCAGCCCTGCGAGGGGGCTATTTCCCAATACACCTGTGTAATTCCCATTAATATTAATGGGAACTGTGTGAGTTTATTGGGGGGAACTCGGTCTCCCCAGCTTGGCTTTGTGTTTGCTTTGCTTGGTAATGATGGCACACATCTCCAGATGAAAAAAAAAAGCCACTTTTGATCACTGGGCTTTCAAAGTTAGTGAAAATTCGTGGTTTTGATTCTCCAGGGAGCAGGAGGTGCCAGAGCACAAAAGCAAGGAGGTGTTGGGGTAGTCTTTTCTGTTTGACTTGTGAATTGGCTTGTGGGAGGGCTGGTGTCCTAATCCTGGCTCACCCCTAAGTCTACACAGTTCTCCTTTGGGATAACCAGCTTTAAGATGATGACAACGTTTGTATGATGGTGAAGAGGAGCCTGGCAGTGGGGTCCATGCACTAAATCCTTCCAGGACCATGAAGTGCTGGCAGGAATTAGCAGGGGGAGGGATGCTCTGGTGTCCCAGCAAATTGGCTGAAGTCAGGAGATCCTTAGATCTGTTCTCACCCTGTGCTGTTGTGCAAGCAGAGTGTTATGTTACCAGTGGAAAAGGAGAGAAGGCCCTGAGTGGGAGCCCTCTGGGAGTGACTGTAGCCTGGGACACCCCCGAGCAATATTCTGCAGGAAGGGTGTGCAGGGTATCTCCTGCGATCCGGGCTGCTGGCTGTGGGGCTGTTTCTGTGCTGATGGGGAGGTGACAGCACATCTCTGTCACCAGGGGAGCTCCTGCATGGGCAGTTCTGGTCAGGTTTGGGCAGTCAGCTGAGGAGCTGGGGCTGCGGCTGCCTGACCACCCTTTCATGGGCAACCTGCAGGGACCCGAGCTCCACGTCCAGCAGGGAGGGATGAAGATCCCAAAGGCCAGAGCAGAGCAGGGATTTCCAGGAGATAAGGGTGTTTCAGGGCTGGGAAATTCGTTAATGCTGTCCCTACCTCAGGGGACGTGGGGACCTCATCTCAGATCCGGTCCCTGACTCACCTGGGTTATTTTGGATCCGGTCCCTGACTCACCTGGGCTGTTTCACCTCCCGAAGAAAACAGCCCGTGCTGCTCCAGCCCATTTCCAGCCTGCAGAGCTGTAATGAATCTGCAAGTTGCTGATTGCCTTTATGAGGTGCTAAGCACCGATGGCTGCCTGGTGCCAGGGAGGGAAGTGTCAGCTCTTGCCCGGATCAGGTCTACAGTGAGTTGTTCTACAGAAAAAAATGACTTTCCTCTACGAAGGCATCACTTATATACCGAATATATATAACAAAACCTGGAAAGCCTCTAGTCACTCATTTTAGCTGCTAAAATGCCTTTAGGCCAACATTCCTGCTGTGAAAGGGGTTATGGACATGTCATATGGGGGTCATCAGTGAAAAATATACCCAACTTTTGTTATTCTTAAGTCTAAATCAAAAACCTCTTTTCACAATCCACTAAGGGACGATTTACTAGAGAGTAGAATGTGGTATCAATTATTTCTGTGGGCATCCTTTTTGTTATAAGAAGCAAAGAGGATTGCTTGAGAGTCAATAGCATGACTCCATCTCAGATTACTAAATAATGAAATGCTAAACTTGGCCTAGAGTAAGGACTATTGCTGTCTCAAAGGGACCAGGGGCTTCAATTAAATCAGAGGACGGTGTTCAATGAATGAGAAAAGGATGCTTAAGGTACGATGACATATTACCGGATTTTACATTTAATTGCAGTGCTTTGTTCTTTTAATAAAAGCACAAGAGCAGTGGATCTCCATTATGGTCATCTGGTAGCATTGTTCACTGTGGACAGTTTATTGTAATTTATTGGCTATGTTTAATCCCTCTATTTTTCATATAAATGAATTCTGTCTGCTTTATTTTATGAATTTTCTTTGCTTATAAAAAAAATTATCACCTAATAGTTATTTACACACAAAAGAGCTTTTCCACTGAAACACTCAATGGTGCAAGAAAGAAACAACCCAGATTCTACGAGACTAGAATGGAATCAACTTCTTATGCTCAAAGAGGTGCATTTCTGCATCACCCAAGCAGGAATTAGCACTGACTGAGCAACATCAGGGGTGACAAAAATGTCCTTGTTGGTTTTGTGGGGCTCTGTGCTGCTGAACTTGCCTGTGTTTGGGCTGTGGGCAGCGGGGTCTGTGCACAGAGTGACTTTGTGGGTTTTTGGTCCAGGAGAAATTGGCTTCAAAATCCCCTGCCCCCAGAGGTGGGTTTCAGCCTTTCTGCTCGGTGCCCTGGGATAATGTACAACACATGGCAGCAGTTTAGCTGGAAAACCACTGGAGCATATGTATGCGATTATACATATGTGTGTGCACACATGCATGCATGTATAGATATATTTATAGTTCTAGGTTTGCATCTACAGTGATACGTATTTATTTTAAAATCTAAACCTACAAGTGTTTTTTTAAATGGTGTCAGGCAAATCCCCCCCTTTTAGACATTTTTGCTGCGATTTGTCTCATCTGAGCACGGCAGGCGTGTCCCGTTACATAAATGATGGGATGGTCAGTGATTTAACTAATGTAACCTGATGCACCAAGGCAACACTGAGGTTACTGTCGGCTTAGGAAGGAAGAAATCAAGACCTTAGAAACTCAGATCCTCATCTGTATTCTTAGAGTCTGGTTTGTTTGGTTTTTTCTTTTTTTTTTTTTTTTTTTCATTAAAAGATCCTTGTGCAGGAGAGGGATTCTTAAATTCAGCTGAAATTTAGCATTGAGCACAGGCAGGGGAGACAGCCTCTCTTCAGGCCTGGACAGTGCATGTCTGGTTTTTGGGGCAGATCCTCCCTGGAGCAGGGTCACAGTGAGTGGTTCATTCCCTGTAAACAGGTTGGGTGTCTTTTGTTTCTGCCTTGTTTCAGCTCGTGTCAGAGCCTGCTCTGGAAACGTGGCAGTTCAGTGAAGAGGGTGGGATGAGCTGACTCTCAGAAGTATTGGCACAAAACTGGCAGTGGCAGCCAGCCCTGCTCAAACTGCCACGAGAGGCTCCTGGGCCCAGGGGAAAGTTGTGAGCTGTGTTGTCTACCGGGAGAAATTCCTCCCTGGTTTTATCTGAGGGGTTTTCCACGTGTGTTTCTTTCCAAGGAGGGTGCAACGCTTTTGACGGCCTGGAGTGTCTAATTTTTATAACATCACTCAGCCTTGTGGCAGAGTAATGAATTCAGGAAGTGTGCGGTGAGGATTGTCTGTGCAAGAGGGTACAGGCAGTACTTAACTCCCCATCGATTGCGAGTGACTGATAAACAAGTGAGTGCCTCCTGATCAACCCCGAAGGGTGCTGCAGGCCCCAGGCACGGGGCTCTGGGACTACAGTCTGCAACAGCAGCATTTCAGCACCTTCTCCCCTGAAACAACCAACTAAACAGAAATTGCTTTTGCTCTTACTGGCATGGTCCTCTCCAAGGGTAGCAAGAGTTGGAGAACTCCTCCGAGGTGGCTGTATGTGCAGGGCTGGGCTGTGTCCAGCTGCAGGACCAAGCGCGGTGCCCAAGTGCCGCTTGTGCAGGGGGCCGATGTCACAGCCTGTGTGCCGAGCCCCTGGGCATGCAGTGTTGTGCTGTGTGGAGGAGGATGATGATGGCTGTGAACTGGGCAGTCGGCTGACCAAACGCACTCTGTTTGTCACAGCTGCTCTTTCCAGGGGCTGATGCAACGTGCCTCTGCCGTATGCACATTTATAAATTACCATATGATGAATATGGGACCTTACCACAGCAGAGTCTTCCTCTTGACAAAGTGCTGTGCCTATTCCCAGCTCTCCCTGGCCTCTGTTTTTGTTAATTTTACACTGAAGGATCAACATGCCCAGGATGCACGCGTGCATCCATCTCTCTCTCCCTCTCAAAGGAAATTAGTGCTTTCCTGTCACCGCAGGTGATATGAGAAGGGGAGGAAGTACACAAACTGATTTATCTGGAGCTGTCAGCTGTTTTGAGGATGTTGACTACTAAGGGTGTCAGCTCCTCCTCAGTAGTTGGCTGACTCTGAAGAAGACCCCATTCCTCATTAAAAGAGCACTGAGCTGCACTTGAAAGTGACTTTCCCACTTGTTCTCCTCTCACAAACATCACAATAACAGATTCGCTGTTTAAAGTGGCATGATCTTCATGCCAGGCCCAGGCAGCTTTGTAAAATACACCTCTGCAGCCCTCGGTAGCATCGGTACCATCCATGCAAAATTCATTTGAGGTATAAACTAGAGACTATCATCACAGATGACAGTTATAGCAAATCAGCACGCTGTGTACAGTTTCATCCTTTATTCACATTATGTATCATAATAAACGTCGTCCTAGCAACACGATTTGTTGAGAGTCAAACACAATACCCCACAATGCCTTGCCACAGATGGATGTGAGGAATCGTGGCTGTAAGAGCCTGGTACAGCCTGAAAAGGAATCAACAATTCCTACTGTCATTTTAGGGGGCTCTTTCCTCCTCCCAGCACAGCCTTGGGAGGGAGGTGAGCAGGGAGCCTGTGTGAAATGGGGGTCTCTGCTGCACGCTGGTGCGTGTGGGAGCAAAGTGGCGTCAGAAGCACCGGCAGCTCGGTCAAAATGTGTCAGGGCTCCAAACTGGAAGGCTTGAGGAAGAAGAGGAGGGATTGTCATCTGGTTAAATTGAGAAATGTTGGGGAAGAAATATTACTCAGGTGCAGGACTACATCTTCTTTCTTTTTAATAACTGCTTAGCGAGAAAGCACTTCCAAGGTATTGAAAGTGAAAGAAAAAGAAATCCTAATGTAAAAATAAATGCCTTTGGTATAGAATTCCACTCAGACCTAAGAGAGATGTTTCTGAGTGGAGTCGGGTGTGATTCATATAACATTTTGCCATCCCCTGGGGAATGTCATCTCCTTCTGATGTCTCCATTTGCAGGAAAGGCTTCATTGCAGGTGCAGCACGAGGCTGCCACACCAAAGGGCTGCGCTCGCTTTCAGACCCTGACGCGCGCTTGCTCTGTGAGATACAGCAGCACGTTTTCTCTAATCCTTGCCCTGGCACCTGCTCCAGCATGTGTTTTTCCTTATCCCTGCTCATGACAGCCCCTGCTCACATGCTCTGTATTACAGAGGAGCTGCTGCCTCCCCGAGGTGCCGGTCAGCCCACGGTGGAGATGCTGCTTCCTCAGCACTGAACGCCTGGGGTGAGGCCACAGGATACTGTCCCCTGTCCCTAATGCAAATCATGTGTTTCCACTGCTGGGAAAACTATGGGAGGAGAGGCTCCAGCTCCTGTCTGAGGTGTGTCCTCTGATAGGAGCAGTCAGAGAGTCTAATAAAGGATTCTGTTACGTGGAGCAAAGCTTTTCCAGGATGAAACACTATTTTCAGAAGACCCTGATTAATTTTTTTCCCCTCCTCTTACTGTTTTGAACAAAATTATCACAATGTCTCTCTGAAATGGAAATACATGAATCAATAAGCTGTTAGAAAAAAGGAAACATCTTGGAAAATCACCTTAAGTGCTGCTAAGATGCACCTAATTTCTGAATGAGCATGGAGCCACTTTCACAGCAATCCTCATCCAGTCTGTAGTTCTGCAGTTCAAAAGCAGCTGAGCCAGTGAGACGCAAATGCCAGAGGAGATAAAGACAACCCTTCCTTGCACAGGTCCCTTGGGAGAGGAGGTAACACAGATACCACAGGAGCTCAGCCTTTACACAAAGTAAAGTGTAGTACCAAGCACAGGCCTGAAACTTTAAAGCCTGGACACGAGTCCACAACAGAGCCCTTCCAACCTGGGGAGAGGTTTATGTCTTTCTCAGGGGTGCCATAAAATAGAATCATCCATCATCCCTCAAAGTCTGTATCTGGATCCAGAAATAGGTTTTGGGCTCAACTCTGCATAATTCATTGTTATTATGGAGTAATCCTATAAACCAAAAAACCAAAATACATTCTCTTTTCCAAAGTGTGTGCAGGTTTTGGTGTTACAGGAAGAACATTTGGGTTCCTGTGGGAGGGAACCTAGAGCACCACCAAAAAAAAAAGAAAAAAAAAAAAAAGAAAAAGCTGTTATGGTTATTAATCAGAATTTTGTATACTTTTCAATTTGCTTCTCCAGGACTGATTCCACTGCACAATAATTAAAAAGAAACCCGTGCCGACTGCGGTGCCCCCCCGCCCGTGGAGCGGTGCCTGGCTGATCCCATTGTCTGCGCCCTGAATGCTGAGCCCACAGTTAATAATTAGTGAGCAGCGCTTAAATGGAACGGCACAGCCGATTCCCTGGTACACTGGCAGAGGCGGCGGCTGAGCCAGCCAGGACTTTGTCATCTTGGCAGGGAGCAGGGGAGCTCGCTGCCATCCCACAGCCAGCGTGCCGTGCGGGGGACCTGGCACCGCGCTGGCACCGCGCTCAGCCCGGCCAAGAGGTGCGGGCAGGACGGCGAGGGAAAGGGTTTTGCTGTCTGCTGTGGGGGGAAAAAAAGGGAGAAAAAGGACTCTTTTTTGGTATGGAGGTTTCCCAGAGATGTCTCTCAGGTTCATATTTATTGTTTATTGCCCGTAAAACTGTGTTTCTATGCTTCACAAAGCCATCATTTCGATGTAGTCTGCCTAGCCTGAAATGATAAATGAAAGCAATGAAGGGAGAGGAAGGGTGTTCTGGTGATTAAAACTCTGGATTTGACTTCAGAAAGTAGGTTTCAGTTCCATCTCTGCCATCAACTTTGGGGTGACTTTTGACCAGTCTTTTAATCTTCTTGGTCTTATGAGACCTGGGGAGAACAGGGATTTCTCCCTTTTAAATTTTTTTGGGTGGGTGTTTTTATTTCCCTTGTCTGGCCAGGCTGTCCAAGTCTTTCCATTGGGAATCCTTTTTACTATGTAAAATGTGACCAAAATGGGGTGCCACTGTAATTTTAAACTCCTGTTCCCAGTATTTTAACAATGCACTCATGGATATACAGAGGGAAAATAGTACAGTAATTAGAAAGGATGTGAATGGTGAGAGTGTGAACAGTGGAAAATCTCAGAGAGATCCTTTTCTGACTGGAGCAGGTTTATTTCCCTCAGTGGTGATTGAAATTAATATGGGCTCTTATTTTATGGAGGTACTCGTAAACTGGAGGAAGTGTGATGGCCTGTAGATGTAAAAGGTCAGAACAAATGATCTAATAGTCCTTTTTAGCCTTAAAACTATGAAGGAAAATGAAGGCTTTTAAAAATTACTCTTTTTCCACAGTTAGACAGGAAATGGAGATGGGATGACAAATCTAACCCCCAAGCTTGGACACTGCCTGTCCCTGTCCCTTTGCTCATTCCTATGCCAGTAGGTTTCCAGTGGGGCTGGATGTCCCAGAGGGTCTCTGAGCCACCTCCCTAAAGGGTACCTGAAAGGCAGTTGGAAAAAAACCTGTTGTCAGGAGGCTTTAATTCACTGTTACAGGTGATCACCTCTCCATTGGAAGTGTAAGGCTCCATAAATCAAGAAATGGCTGAAAACTTCTGCTCTGGTCTTTGCCAGCAGTTAAAGACAGCTCACGTCAGCCACGTTTATGTGCCCATCTTGAATCCCTGTGCCTGTTCCTATTGCTGAACAGGGCACTTCTTGTCACCATTTTCAAGCCAGCCTGTGGCCCTCTTTTAATTTTCCTTTTTTCTACTTACCCTGCAATTAAATACCCCTAAAGTGACAAACACACAAAGAGCTTAATCTCCAGCCCTGTTGCACACCAGACACAGGAGTGCACCTTGGTAGGAGGTGTCTTTCCAGACAAAGGCACATAATCGCTCATCAGGGCCATTGTTTTTGCTGCACGTGTGGTCTGGATCAAGGGCTCAGCCTGCACTTGGCAATGCAGTGATTCCCTTAGGGTTTGGAGTTTCCAAACTCAGACCAGGAGCCTTCTTTTGGCCACTTCCTTTAGCATCTCCAGGCAGGGAAGGACATTCCATGAGTGATTCACACTGTGAGGGTGATGCTACAGCCCCCAGTGTCACAGTCTTGTCAGGATGGAGGTACCTGGACAGGGACCTCTCCCTTCCCAAGCCCTTTCCAGGCAGGGTGTGAGGGACTTCCCAATCCACAGCCCGTGCAGGATCATCATGCTCAGCAGTCCTTCGTGGAACTCTCCTGTAAATTTGTCTAATCGTGTTTACAATCCATTTATATTCCTGGTCTCTGCTACCTGCTGTGCACTAAGTTGCGTAATTTAGTTATTCTTTGTAAAAGTGTTCCTCATGGGCTGTTTTAACCCTGCTGCCTCATAACTGGGTGTGCCCTGGTTCTTATGCTGTGAGGAATACTGACTAATTCTTTTCTGTTTGCTTTCCCTATACTGTTCATGATTTTATAGACTTTATTGTGTGTTGTCTGATTTTCCTCCATCATTTTGTAGCTTGAAGGGCCACATTTTTTTTACAGAAGTCAGCACAATGGGAGATGAGTAGAGGATTTGGTGGGTTATTGCAGATCTTGAAATATAGAAGAAAAATTGATCATCAGCTGAACAAAACATTAAACTTTAGACTTTTTATTAA